AGAATTGTTGGCAATTGTATTTGGTTGTGAAAGGTTCAATTTTTACTTATTTGGAAGATCTTTTCAAGTGCAAACAGATCACCAACCGTTAGTAGGGTTGGCGAAAAAACCTTTAGAAAATTTATCACCACGATTGCAGAGGCTCATGATGAAATTATTGAGATATGATGTGCAATTAATTTATGTGCCAGGGAAAAAATTACAAGTAGCTGATACACTCAGTAGGAGCCCAAATGATAGTTACATAAATACAGATAATATTGATTCAAATCTAAAGGTATATTCGGTAATCACAACTTCAAAGAATAATATTGATAAAATGATCAGGGAAACTGAAAGTGATTCTGACCTACAAATCATAAAAAAATATGTTGTTAATGGTTGGCCTGTCCATAAATCTAATTTGAATAATGAAATTAAAAAATATTGGGCCATTCGGAATGATATATATTTGCATGATGATGTTCTATTTTATAAAAAACGTATTATAATTCCTCATTCATTGAGACCTGAATTTTTGAAAATTTTACACAAAGCACACCAAGGTATTAATTCTTGCCAGAATATGGCTCGAGAAGCTATATTTTGGCCACGAATAATGACAGATGTTGAAAATTTCGTTTCAACCTGTGAAATTTGTCAAAGATTCTCTAGAAACAATCCCCGTCAGCCATTGACTCCACATGATGTTCCTGATTATCCTTGGCAAAAAATTGGTATTGACTTCAAAAATTTCAGAGGAATTGATTTCTTAGTAATAGTAGACTATTTCAGTAAATATCTTATCATCAACAAAATTCCAAATAAGTCAGCTAATTCAGTGATCACTACACTTAAAAATGTATTTTGTTCTTTTGGTTTGCCATTTGAAATTTTTTCTGATAATGGGCAACCGTTTTCTTCAATAGACTTCAGAAAATTCGCAGAAAAATATGAAATAAAATTATCAACTTCCTCTCCTTACTATCCCCAATCTAATGGGATGATTGAAAGACATATTCAAATTGTAAAGCAATTATTCACCAAAATAGTTGTAGAGAGAACTACAGAAACTGTGGACCTACTGTTGGCTATTCTGTATTATAATAATACATCGAAAGCTGATATTCCATCGCCATCTGAACTATTTTTTGGAAGAAAAACAAGAACCTTGTTACCAGTTCATATGGATCACTTGAAAATCAATACTTATGACACAGAAGAAATTCGCAAGAAGTTAGTCGTCCATCAACATACACAAAAATCATACTATGACAGAGGAAAATCAGTTCTTTGTGATTTAGAACCAATGCAAAAAGTATTGATCCAGAATAATGGGAATTGGGAACCTGCTTCTGTCAAGCAGAAGAATAATTTTCAAGATTATATAGTGGAGGATGCCAGAGGAAAAACATTTAGAAGAAATAGAAGAGACATCAAACCTTTCAAGGGAAATACAACTGCCTTGGATCCTGACCCAATATCAGACTTAACATTTTTCGAGATTCCTGTGCACATGGAAAGTGTGGAAAATTCTAGAAATATTCCTAACTCTGAAAATCATACTTCGGATGAACACAAACTGACTTCAGTGGTAGAAGCAGAATCAAGTCGAGTCTTGGCAGAGCCTGATGGTTGCGGTCTTCGTCATATTCAAACGTGTTAAATATTCGCAACCCTTCATCACCAATCAAGTTTAATAAGATTGCTACTTTTACATCATCGGGCTTTTTATCAGACCCACTTGCTTTCATGTAGATTTCCAACCTTTGGTACCATAACTTCCATTTCTCCGAAATATTTTCGTTGAATTCCATTGCAGGAATAGATTTTGCTGAATGTTCCATCTTTCTTTATCTTCGTTCAGAAGCGTAGGACTTTAAAAGCTGCCACCATGTAAAGATATCAAAGATATTCTCAGATAATAATTTGATAGATGAGTAGAATATTGATTGAAGTTTTATTCTATAAGTTATTATTTATAAAAGTCATGACAACAACAACTAGTATATACTGAGTATATATCACAGTGACCACTCCCCAGATGCGGCTACCTTTAATTTTTACTTACAAAGTCCTTCTATCTATCAAATCCAAGGCATATGGGGTTGACAAAATCAATATTGATATGTTAATTGTACTGCTGCCCTTTAATTCTTCCCATCGTATGTCACATCTTCAATTTCTGTATCGCGAACAATGTCTTTCCTTCCATCTGGAAAAAATCTTTTATTATTCCTCTACCCAAAATTCCCAATCCAGTGGAGTTCAAATCACTTCGTCCCATCAGCATTCTATGTACCTTATCAAGAGCTTTCGAAAAAATAATTCTCAAATTCAGGATCACCTACAATCCAACAGCATCATTCCCTCCTATCAGTCTGGATTCCAACCTCAACACAGCTGTGTAACCGCATTAATCAAGGTCACAGACGACATTTTCACCGCGACGGATCAACAACAGCTCACTGCTCTGGTTATGCTCAAGTACAGCAAGGCTTTCGATAGGATCAAGCACCAGTTGTTGTTGGCTTTACTTCATTATATTGGTTTTTCTGCATCCGCTACTTGCTTGCTTGGAGCATACTTGAAAAATCGCTTGCAAGCTGTTTTATTAGAACGAGACTGTTCTGACTTTCTGGTAGTGGAAAACGGAGTTTCTCAAGGATCGATATTGGGTCCGGTGTTATTCATACTCTATACCCATGAATTTCATAATCACATAAAATTCTGTAATAGTCACTTTCATGCAGATGACACACAGTTATACATATCATTTTCTGAAAAAAATCTTCCCCTGGCTGATTTCCAACTGAACTCTGATTTGGATGCTATCATCTTGATATCTGAAGAATTCTGTCTCTCAATAAACCCCTCAAAATCCTCTGCTATTCTTTTTGGCAGAAAGGTCGCTCGTAGTCGTTGCAAGAACTTGATGACGATAAAAGTCGGGGAAGGAACTATTCCCTTCTCTGATAGCTCAAAAAATCTGGGAGTTATTCTTGATTCCTCGCTCAATTTCAGTGGCCATGTCAATCTACTCGTTCGGAGAGCTTTCTGTAACCTCAAATTGATATATTCCAACAGAAAAATGTTAGATAAAAACGAAAAAAAAAAAAAAAAATCTGTGAGTCACTAGTTCTCTCACACTTGAATTACGCTGACACTATTTACGGACCCGCCATCACCAAAAGAGACGCCCAGCGAATACAATTGATTCAGAACTCTTGTGTCCGTTTAATTTGCGGACTAAGCAGACGAAATCACATCTCTTCCCCTCTCTAAGAACTCGGATGGCTCAATACCGAAAAAAGAAGAATACTTCACCTTTGCACTTTGTTTCATAGTATAATAAATTCGCAAACACCACCCTATTTATACGACAAGATCACATTTCGTACGGACGTGCACAACATCAATATTCGGCACAAATCACGACTTACGCCACCTCAGCACTCCACAGCCCAGTTTCAATCGTCATTCTGTTTCACTATTACCAGGCTTTACAATAGGATTCCGGAACGGTTCAAAACTATATCCACTGCATGTTTCAAAAGTAGACTCAAAAAGAGCCTACTGTCAGGAGAAATATCTCTATGATGCCTTTTACTTCCTGTTCAATTTTTTTTCATTTCTTTACTCAACATGCCTTATTCAATATGTATTCATTTTTCTGAGTAGTTTTATTAATAGATAAGTATTGTATCACCTTATATTCAGTTGTTAACATAGTTTTAGATTATTCAGCGTAGTTTAATACTAACTCCATAGGTTGAGTGGAAGAAAGCACTTGTTCGACTCAACACCGAGTCCGAACCAGAGCTAACTCTGCCTTTTGATAGATGATGTCATATGTTACCTTTTTTTTGTTAACCATTTTCTGTCAATAAAAGCGATTATTATTATTATTATTATATAATTTTTCATCAAAAAATAAACAAAAAATTTCACCTCAACCTCAAAATAGAAAATGAACTCTTAAAACAAACCGACCAGATAAAATATCTTGGTATTTGGTATGACCGCAGGTTATATTGATAATATTGATGTTTTGACAAACAAAATATCTCTAATTATTGGTGCATTGAGAAGATGTCCCAAACTAGATATCAAAACTGCAAACATGATTCTCTACCCTCATATACTGAGTCGTATCAACTATTTAATAAATGTTTAGGGATCTTGTTCAAAAAATAATTTCAATATAATATCAACATTATATAGAAAATCGTTAAAAGTACTATATCGTACAATACCAATAAATTGTATGAAATAACAAATACGTATTCTTCAGATGAAATATATAGAATTTAAACTCTTAAAATTTTATATATAATATCATGAATAAAAAATTGAAGTTGAATTTTAGTTTGATACGGAATTCTGAAATTTATAATCATGAAACTAGACAATATAACTTGTTTCATCTTGACGCCGCTATCTCCATACTCGGACAGAAAAGATTCACTCATTCAGCCTTAACTGAATTGAATAAACTACCTGGCAATACCAAAAACTGCGGAAATATTGGTACATTCAAAAATAAAGTGAAAAAACTGATAGTTTCTGAGCGAACTGGATAAAATTGATCATGTCATTTAACTTTGTTTTTTTTTCAAATATTATTCTTTGTTTGCCAATTTATAGTTGTTGATATATTTTGAGTGGTGAAATGTACTTCCTTATACCAGAGTCATTCTGTCTGGAAGTTATTTGTTCAATTAATAAGAAAAAATATTTCACGTTGGACACTGAAGACAAGGACAATTGGGGAAGACATATTTTCTCTCTCAAAGCTAGCTGAATTGCTCTATTCGTTCGTATTCGTTTATACGTCTGGATGCATAGATTTCAGGATTAAGTAATTCGATGTTTTGCGTGGTATCAGCCAGGAAAGTAGTTGTTTTTATCCAGTCATCTACCATTGTTGTTCATTTTATGAACATTTGTGGATCTGACTGAGCTTTTTTGTATTTATTTAAAAATCTACCTGTCAACCTCATAAATGGTTCATCTTTCAGATGAAGTTAATAGAATGGGACCTTTGATAGATGCAGAATTAGAAAGGGTTGATAGAAAACATGCTCAGCTGACGCAACTCAGCGGTGATCTTGTTGATGCGTTGAGTCTGTATCATACTTTGATGAGGGAGCAATCATTCTCAGTTGCTGGAAAAATGGGTTATGGTTACCAACCTCCTTCTACCCCCATGGTAAGTTTGTTTATCAAGTTCTCAAATGCTCATTGATCATCTGGTGCTGAGTCGTGAAATATCTGGCCAGGGATAGCAAGTTAGTTTTTTGGGTGCAGAAGCTGTGTGCATATTTATCGATATACAGGGTGTACTTATTGAATTGATGGCTCAAAATTCAGGATATATCCTTAGATCATTCAAAGAAGAAAAGTTTATATGAATATATGCCAAAAACCTTTTATCTGTCAAGCCATAGGGTGTTATAATTCTGAGAAAGACATCGTTTTTATCATCTCCAATACTGTCCTAGATATTCTCATGAATGCATCTACTAAGCACCAATAGGCATTTTTTGATGCAGGAGTTATTTTTTTAAATATTTCTACCAGTGGCTTTCGTATTGGGATTTATACTGGAGATTTAAAAAATATATATCGTACGCCCAGGCTTTTTCCGAAAATAAAAATCATTTTAGAAATCCTCATTCATTTTGCAACAATTTGCATGACCTCCCAATTTTTTTCCGTCGACGCACCGTTTTCGCGTAATAAAATAAAAACCATCTTGACTAACTCAATCAGTGGACTTTACTCAAATGAATATTAGACTAAATCTTACCTACAAACTATCACATAGTGCTTAGTAGGTCCATGTCAAATTCCATGAGAATATCTAGAATAGTAATGAAGTTATGATAAGAAATCGAATTTTTTATTGAAATGTTGAAATTGTTTCGCTCTATAGGAAGTTGAGAGGCTTAGAGCATATTATGTTCATGTGCACTTTCCTTGATGAAATGAGCTAAGGAACCATATCCTATATTTCTAGCGATCAATTGAATTACACCCTGTATAACCTCAAAACTATCCAAATTATGCGGGTGCATTTGTAAGCACCCGGCACCCCGTTTATATATTTTCAGTTATAAACTGATTCATAAATAATCATAAAAAACACGAAATTCGACATATCTTGTGATGGGAATGGTTCGAAAGATCTAGACACCCAGACTCCATTAGTAGGAGAGCCGGCTGCAGATTTCTACCATCACCTGATAACGAAATAATATATCTCCCAAATAAAAAGTAAAAACGTTGTAGTTCATCGAACGGCACCTGTTCCAATCACTATCCTTTTTTTCATGTTCTGAGCAAAATGACTACAAAATTGCACTTTCCTGTGCGGAAATTTGCATTCGATTTCGTGATTCAATAATGAGATAAGAATTATGCCATCCGATACCAATCGAATGGTAGATCTCAAATCTTACCTGTGCCACCCCTCAGTTTGAACCAAATCCATGGCACATACTTCCGTCATGTGATACCGACTTGAAACATGAAGCAAATGTCAGGGAAAAATGTCCCTTTTGCGAATATCCAAACGTGCCGCGATTAAGTTAGTGGCAGAGCGTCAATATTTCCGTGAATATTTCGCCCTCGTCGAAAGATAATATCCTATGGACCAGTGTGAAACCCATGTAGTGCTCACACTACAAGTATTCTAATCCAGATGTTGAGTTTTACACTGGTCCATCGGAGATTATCTTTAGAAGGGGGCGAAATACTCTCGGGAGTATTGACGCTCTGCCACTTACTCAGATAAGTTAGAATCGCGGCACGTTGGATATTCGCAAAGGCGACATCATCTCCTTTTATTTGCTTCTTGTTTCAACTCGTTATCACATGAGGGTTTGCCCGGAATAATAGAAGCAAATAAATCGCTGTGCCGTGGATTTGGCTCAGACTGAGGGGTGGCACAGGTATGTTTTTGAAATCTACCATTCAATTGGTATTGGATGGCATAATTCTTATCTCGTTATCAAATCGCATATTTCCGCACAGGAAAGTGCAATTTTTCAATCATTTTGCTTAGGATATTGATTGGCACAGGTGCCGTTCGATAAACTACAATAGTTTTATATACCTTTGGGACATACATATCATTTCGTTATCAGATGATCGTCGAAAGGACCCCGAACTAAACTATAGAGAAAATGGCTCTCGATAAAAATCGCTGAATTTTTGGTATGTTGCAGACATTGATATACTGAACAGATATTCCATTGAAATAACCTTAAAAAATTGACAGTGTTTCCGATATTGACCTCCAAATGTAATTTTTTCAAGAAAATAAATCTCTGAAAATGGCTGAATTTCTGGTATGTTGTAGATAGGAATAGGTCGCGTGCACGAAGACCGACCCTGGAGGCAAAATATTGAAACACAACCTCATTCTTCTGTGAATTATTGAAACACAACCTCACTTTTTTATTTGGTTACAGAGGAATCAAAAGGTTGAAATAGTTTTTCACAATATTTTGGCATACGAATCGTGTTTCTTGCGTTATTCATTAATTCAAGCATGCCTTCGCATTGTGCTGTTGTACAATGCACAAAAAATGCAGCAAGAGACCAGGGAATATGATTTTTCAGGTAAATAGTAATCTCACATAGTTAGCATTATGAAATTTGTCATTCCTTATTAAAATTCCTTCTGCCTTCTGCCACTTCTGCAATACAAGCTAATGCTGCTAATAGATTGAAAATGTCTACAACACACACGATCGTCAGCATGTCAGACCAGTCCTACCGATTGATTGCATGAATCCAATCTTCTTGCATTATTCTAGAAATTTCAGGTATATTTCTATTAGCTGATCCTATTGCAGAAGGAATTCCGATGAGAAATCAGAGAAATAACCAAATTTCAAAAATGAAAACTATGTGAGTGACTATAGTAGGTACTTACTTTTGAATCATAATGTACCATCCGGATTTCTTCATCTTCCGCTGCAGTTTTTGTGCATTTTACAACAGCACAATGTGATGGCATTAGCGAATTGATGAATAGAGAAAAAACACGATTCATATGCCAAAATAATTGTGGAAAACTATTTCGATCACTTGTAAACAAATATGTTTTGCCTCCAGGGTCGGTCATCTGACAGTTCTTGCACGCGACCTATGAACTGATGAAACAATCCAATTGACCTAACCTCGAAAAATTGACAGTTTTTTCGACATTGACCTCCAAATCAAATTTTTTCGAAAAATAGTCTATGAAAATGGCTGGATTAAGTAGGTATGTTGTAGATATGAATAAACAGATGAAAAAATCCTATTGACCTTAACTCAAAAATTTGACAGTTTTACTGCTACTGGCCCCTGAATGGTATTCAAACAACAGTATGAAGTTGACCTTCAGAATGTTATTCTGTACAATTTCAAGGTCAGGAGAGTCAGGAAAAAATAATGTTTCATCATCATCGACGTTTCGTCCTTCATTATGGGGCATTCTCAGAAATCTATGAGTAAACCTACTAGAAAAATGAGCCAATTAAATTAGCTTTGATTTTCAAACACATTTTCCTGAACATCCTCATATAGGTGAGTAGATTTTTGAAGTTTGTCAGGTTTCCATTTTATTTTGATCTGTTTAGTATATCAAAGTCTGCAACATACCAAAAATTCAGCGATTTTCATCAAGAGTCATTTTCCCCATAGTATAGTGCGGGGTCCTTTGTAGCCGGCTCTTGGACCATACCGGGTGACATGGGGGACATGTAACAGCCTGTAGTTTTTTTATTTGAAGAGTTACAAATTTGAAATTCACACGGGTTATATAATCGATAATGGTGCTTCCTTTGAACCCAATGACAATTTTTTTCAACCACCTGTTTGATTGGAAGGAGACCCAACTTTTTTTTTTCAAATGGCACCCCGTATATTTCAATAGTCTATTTTATTCGCCTTGAAATTCTTTAATCAACTATGTATGGCAATTTGATATTCGTTCATTAATTGTCTGTTGAATTGCATTTCATTGAAATACATGAAGTTGCCTGTGGCTTGATAGGCTTAGACATCCAAAGATCGAGTCTGGCACCACGGACTCCTCGCCAAGCTTTCATCTTATGGCTTGCCTCCCCAGCTATGTTCTCTGCTAGCTAGTTTTCTCTCAAACAGGTCTCTCCATGTAGTGGCCGACGGAGTTTCATCTGACTCTTATCATAAATGCTGGTCTACTCCATATCAACGATTTGTTGGAAGCAACTTCATGTCCAGTACACAGCTTCGCGGATGATAGTACCCTCCATACCGCCTTCTCTTCCAGGGTTCCAATACCAACCACACAAATCAGAAACGAACGAAGAAGAAATGTTGACAACACAAATATGGACTTGGCAACAATTTTCGAATGGGGATCCAATAACTTGGTAGAATTCAATGCAAACAAAACACAAGCATGCCTTTTCTCTAGAAAAGCCGATCTCACTGTGCCCAACATAAGCTTTTCAGGAGTAACCATACCTTTGAAGACATCCATTTTGATGCTTGGTATCACTATCAGCAGTAACCTTTTTTGAGATCAATTGCAAAAAATGCATCCCAAAAACTTGGTTTTCTGTTTCGGGCCGGGAGCTTTTCCACTTCCAGTCAGCTGCTTATGATCTATAAGGCACAGATCCGACCTGTCCTGGAATACTGTTCCCATATTTGGAGCAGCACCCAAACATACCCTGATACTGTTAGATTCTGTCCAAAAAAGGGCAATTCCTCTCGTGGGTGATACTTCGCTCACAAACTCACTCATTTCTCTGGAACACCGTAGAAAAGTTGGCGATCTGGCTTTGTTTTATAGATATTTTCATGGACGATGCTCTCCTGAAACATCAACAATTGTTCCTCCTTTGGCAGTCCCCGCGAGATTAACCCGTCGAGTTGAGGCTTTGCACCCCTTCGTGGTCACCTTGGAGACCTGCAGAACATCTCTTTCCAAAGACTCGTTCATCCAACGAACAGCGAGGCTCTGGAACACATTGCCAAGGGAGGTGTTCCCTGAGGCATATAACCTCCAGAAATTCAAGAAGAACACCAATTCCTACCTTATTTCCCATGGTTCTCACGATGTTCTCTGAACATTACAGGATTTCCTTATCCCGTAATCGGTTCCAGACGATTGCCCATAATTTCAGTTCAAAAAAATCAGCCTGGAATAACTCACTATATTAGAACGATACATCAATTATTATTACAATAATTCCAGTTGTATGTATCCTAATGGATGATAATATTATGGGCCAAATGAAAAAAACTGAGTTTATATCTTAGTTTTCTCAACATCGTGAGTTATTTTCAGATGATTTTTTTAAACTCAATGAAATTATTGGCAATCTTCTGGGACCGATTAGGGTATGGAAAATATTCTGATAATATCGTCTAAGTAATGATCTTTGGATTTCTCAGCCTATCAAGCATTGAAATGTCATTGCATTCGGGCCACAGCCAACTTCATGTATTTCAATGAAATGCAATTCAATAGCCAATTTATGAACGAATATCAAATTATGATACATAGTTGAATAGAAAATTTTAAGGCAAATGCGATAGGCTACAGAAACATACAGGGTGTCATTTGGAAAAAAAAAGTTGGGTCTACTTCCGATCAAATTGGTGGTTGGAGATAATTGTCATTGTGTTCAAGGGAAGCGCAATCATCGATAATATAACCCTTGTGGATTTCGAATTTTCATCTCTTCAAATAAAAGAACTACAGGCTGTTGCATGTCTCCTGTGTCACCCGGTATACCTCGGGTGTGAAATATAATATTTCAACAGGGATTTCCACCCGGTATGCACATGGGGCCGCCCCCCGGCATGCCCCACCAACCGCACGACCGGCCGCAGTACGCGATGCCGCCCCAGCCCGGCCCGCCGCCCCAGCAGTTCCACCCGATGATGGCCGCCGGGCAGGGCTCGATCCCGCCGGGACGGCTGCCGCCCACAGTCGGCCAGATGGGCGGGCCGCAGATGCACATGCACCAGCACGAGCAGCAGCTGGCGCATTATCCTGGACCCGGGTGAGTTTTTTTTTGATTGATTGTCTTTATTACCCCAAGAAATATTATTGTTTATAATAGGGATATATATACAACAAAATATACATACATAATAAATCGAAACAATAATAATTGCACTATTATTGTTTTTCTTAAAAGAAAATTATAATATAATATAAAATGAGAATATTATAACCCATTTCAAGTAATCAAATAAATTGTGAATGATTAGTAGATATGGAATTAAAGTTTACTGAGCAGATATTTCTTTAAATTGATTTTAAATTTTTCTACTTCTTCTATATTTTTCAACTCATTAGGTAAGGAGTTATATACAATTATTCCATTATGGAATATTGATTGTTTACCAAACTTTGACTTATAATTATTTGCTATCAATGAATTAAATTGCCTTGTTTCATGGGTGTGAATCGTATTTACTTCATTAAAATTCAAATTAGATATTTTCACCTTACAAAATGAATAAAACAACAAATTTTGAGTTTATATAATGAAACAAGATTCAGCAAGTCTTCAGGTTTGTATAGATTCACAGTTGATTCTAAAAAAGATGAATTGAAAATGCACTTTCTTGTTTTATTTTGTAATTTCATGAGTGGCTTCAAACGTGAAATATTTGTACTTCCCCAAATAGATATTAGATATTGTAAATTTGAATAAAAAACACAGAAATATATACTCTTTAGGTATCTAACAGGAATGAAATTTCGAATTTTATATACAGGGTGTCCCTCCGGGAATTGCATCGATCAATATATAAAAAACCATGGGTGGGCCGAATTTGAAAATTTGGTAGTTCACTATTGTTGATAAGTGCTATCCGGCTAAAATATTTTGAAGATTGTGGCACTTCCGGTTGTACCGGAAGTGGACCCCAACTTCGTTATTTCAAATGGAACACCCTGTATTTTATTGCAATTTTAGATTCTTACTGAAGAGTTGATTTCATCAATGTATCACACTTGGGGTCTATCAGGAATGATTACAGAGATATAGGGTGTTCACAATCGAGATTTTTCAATTTCAAGATTTTTTTGTGTTGTAGTCCAATAAATAAAGGAAAAAAATTAAAATTAATTACGCACTATTTTCATCTTCCGGTTGGAAGTAGCTTTTGGTACCTCATTAAACTTGAGACAAAGTTTGACTGGAAAACGCGTGCGATGGCCGAGAAAATGGCCCCAAAAGACCAGAAAGATAGGTTTTCAGCCAATATCTCCTAAAATATGGCAGTTAGAGATTTTCGGTTCAGATAAAAATTGAAGTTCAGTTAATTTTCTACAAAAATGGTCCTTATCATTTTTCTCGAAAATTTGCCCGGTTTCGAGAAAAACGGCACGAAGCGCACCTCGAATAATGAGCTTCTGTGATGTATACCGGAGAGCACAGTCCGTGTATTTACACATCGGCGGGGGGACAAATTATTCAATAACTTTGTTGAAAATGCATATTTTCTCATGATTCAAAGTTCATGTGAAAGAGGAATTCTGCTGCTATCATACCCTGTGAATTGAGTCATGCTTGACTCTTTTGGCCATATCGGAACATGGGTCAAACTTTCTGCTCCCGGTCAATTTTGACCTCGCCAGGAATTTGTTCCTATTTTTTTGCATTGCACTAATTTACTCAAAATTCTCTAGATTATGGGTCCTCATAAGGTCCTTCGTCATCCCTGAAATTTATATACCCTAATTTTTTTAAATTTTCATTTAATCTTTGTTTATTGAATCCCAATTTTTTGCTGTTTTTGGAGCGCGGGGAAATTTTGTGAACAACCATCAATTGAAAATTTATACATGATCCGATTGGTTTCTATGATACATCATTTGAAAGCTAAGAAGGTCTACTTTTCGATTGTGCAATTACTTTGTTAGACGAAGTCGTCCATTTTTCAATAAAATTAGAAAAAGCGGGGACAAGGAAAAAACGCACTTTTTTTCGGTGGTTTTTTTCTCTGTGCTATTTATTTCTAACATTTTAACACCTTAACTAGTGTAACGGAGGAATTCCCACCTTTCCATCGATGTATATAAGTCATACCTTTGATATCCCGAAAAAAAACAGTATATCTAAATGTACACGCTATAATTTATTACTTTCGTTCCTCCGTCGTTCGCCGCGTGTGTGCTCTACGTGGCGCTCGGGTCGTCTGCTACAAATCATGCGGCCACGCAGGGTATGATAGCAGCAGAATTCCTCTTTCACATGAACTTTGAATCATGAGAAAATATGCATTTTTAACAAAGTTATTGAATAATTTGTCCCCCCGCCGATGTGTAAATACACGGACTGTGCTCTCCGGCATACAACACAGAAGCTCATTATTCGAGGTGCGCTTCGTGCCGTTTTTCTCGAAACCGGGCAAATTTTCGAGAAAAATGATAAGGACCATTTTTGTAGAAAATTAACTGAACTTCAATTTTTATCCGAACCGAAAATCTCTAACTGCCATATTTTAGGAGATATTCGCTGAAAACCTATTTTCCTGGTCTTTTGGGGCCATTTTCTCCGCCATCGCACGCGTTTTCCAGTCAAACTTTGTCTCATGTTTAATGAGGTACCAAAAGCTACTTCCAACCGGAAGATGAAAATAGTGCGTAATTAACGTTAACTTTGCCTTTTTTTCCTCCTTCATTTATTGGACTATAAATGATTCAACTCCCCGTGATTGTGGCTTCCGAACGGAAATTTGAAACGGGGGTGACGCTAGAATTGCTACAATGTAGAACTTTGGGTGGAAAAAGGGGTCTAACCCCAAATTTTATTTTGCTCCCGATATTTTTTTTATTGGTGTCATTCGATAGTATACGTTGAGCTTTCTCAAGGTTTGAAATATGTGCACTTATTTCAATGCCACCCTGTATATCAATTCTGACGTTCATAAAATTCATTGTCAATTTCAAACAATTTGAATGAAAAAGCGCGGGACGACTATGGTGCTCTTGTCACAATGCAGCAATGTGGAACTTAAGGAATCTAAACATTCAAAAACAATAACAGTTGTCATTTCTAGGTGCGTTTTGTTGTGCCATAACTCAATCTGGTTCTTGGTATTGTACACGTTTTGTTGTGCATTCAAACCCATTTTCATTCCCATTCGCATTCCTTCTCATGAGAAGGATTGAAAATTGGAATGACAAATAAAAGTGACTTGTGACTTGTGATTATTATTGTGACATGAGAATTGACAGTTAAAAGAAAACATTTTCAGCATTTATCGCATACAAGCTAATAATAATGAATAGAAATTGAAGAGAACCACAGAAAAACGATAATTTCTCTATCTAAGGCATTGACGTCTTCTAAAAATTCAATCATTATTCTCAAACTTTGGTTGAGAATCATGGATATCAAATTAGTCTATATCAATTTTTGAATCATGGGAGCAAGAACAGAATGATGATAATGGTAAAATTGCTACATACCAGAGACAAATACGAGGACAAATATAATATGATCAGATTTTTACTTTGAATATATCAAAAGCCGCCGATCATGCGCCGATCCGTTTTCTTGGGCTCATTCTATCACTTCCGGAATGGCACAACAAAACGCATCTTCTGTGTCCGAACTCTTATATAATACCATCCAGTGACTCTATTCATTTTGAAAAAACAATGTTGCTGGCATTTCTAGAAAAACCGGAAGTCCTCCATATTGGATTGAAATGTGATCAAATTCGAAATAGCAGCTTATACAGGCCGATTCACGGTGGAAGGCACATTAGACGTTTCTGGAGAACTTAGCTTAGGATCAATCTGGAAATTTGGTGCCTTGGATAATTAGTTGTACTCTATCGACATAAAATGTTCTCAGCGCTGCGACGTTGACGCTTATGATGAAAAGTAGAATCAACTTTGATTTTTAAATGGGACACCCTGTATATTATTCCATTTTCAGATTCTCCCTGAAGAGCTGATTTCATTGACCTATAACACTTGGGGTCTAGCAGTGACAATTACAGAGATATGGGGTGTGAAAAATCGAGATTTTATAACTTTAAGATTTTTTGTGTCGAAACTATTCATAATTGGTCAAAACGGTTTCCATGTCCCTATCTCAACTTTTTCTTAACTATCAATTGATATTTATTTGAAATAGGTACAGGGTTGTTCAGAATTAGATTTTCAACCACCCTGTAGCTATTTTAATCAAATATCAATTGATAGTACTTAGAAAGTTGAGATAGGGACATAAGAACCGTTTTGACTAATTATGAATAGTTTCGACACAAGAAATTCTTGAAGTTGAAGAATCTTGATTTTTCACACCATATATCTTTGCTATCATTCCCGCTAGACCCCAAGTGTAATAGATCGATGAAATCAGCTCTTCAGGAAGTATCTGAAAATGGAATAATATGTAGGGTGTCCCATTCAAAAAATCAAAGATGTTGCTACTTTTCAATATAAGCGGCAACGTCGCAGTGTTGAGAATATTTTAGGACGATAGAACACAACTAATCATCCAAGAAACCAAATTTTCACTCATAATATCACGAGAGCTTCAATTATTTCCGGAAATTTTTTCGAGAGCACGAATATTTTGAAAATTCCCCCGAGACGAAGACGAGAGACAATTTTCTAAATATTCGTGTTCTCGAAAAAATTCCCGGATATTAATTGAAGCTAAAGTGGTATTCGGTAAGGAAATTTCACACTGAAATATTATTAAAAAATAACTTGGATAATGACGATTTTTGATGGTTTTGACATCTGAATAGTAGGCTTTGTATGTTAACTCAAAAGAATAATATATTTTTTTTATTTACGTATGTCATTCTTCATGTCAAAACTGAAGAGTAGGTATGATATCAAGTGGTTATATGAAAATGTATTAGTATTATTGATAAAATGCACATTCATAACATTGTTAGGTTAAATAAACCCCAATTAATCTACTTTAGTTACACAAAATAATGAGAAATGAATCGATAGTAGTTGACTTTTGAAATTTTTCACAAATTCAGTTCACTAAACTTGGTAGAAATATATTTTCCTGCAAGGAACCCAAAGTACTATTCAGTATATCCATGAAATTTGCGCGCATAATATTATTAGGTTGAATAAAATATATTTGAACGAATTTAGTTGAATAAATTGAAGAAAAATAAGTCAGTAGTAAATCAATCTTTCAGTTTTTCACAAATTTATTCAACTAAAGTTGGTAGAAAATAATGAAAAAGGTGCCTATTTGAAATGATAGATAATAATATAAAAATAGTATAATAATAAGTTCTCTATTATTTCCAGGAGACCTAATATCTTAGTTATCCACTTTAGTTAAATGAAAGTTCTACAGAAAAGTTAATCATAGTTCAATATATCTAATTTCGACCAATCTAATCTACTATAGTCGTAGCAATAATTTATTCACCGAATTTGTTTGGGAATACCAAATATCAGTTGCTTCTGGCGTGTGAAAAATATGGAGCTCTTCGTGGATTACAACAGAATAAGATTGTTTCAAAGTACTACATATATTTCATGAAACATAGACATTTTATACGTTCTAGTGAATGTTCGCTTTCATATTTGAAAAAAGGAATTTCAACAACACTTAGATGATGAAGTTGAAAATGATGGTTGTTTGTGATGAAATGTAAGAACTAACGTATAGTAACAACATGTGTTTTCGTAAATTTCGAATTTGCAAGTATACCTACATAATATTATATGGTAAACTGTTGATAAATGCTTTGTATTTATTGACTTATAGAATGAACTCGAAATAATCTGAAGTTGAATGTAAATGTCATCTAACCTATAAACGTCAAAAAATTTCCAGTGTAATATCATGCTCCGTCCCCCAAGGAGGAGGAAAAAATTTCCAAGAAATTTGTTTAGTTGCTATGGTAACGATTAGAAATACAGGCTTTAAATTGATGGAAAATGTTTGGTGTGAAATTTTCAGTATAATTCCACGTTGCTTTCTCCAGAAACGTCTAATGTGCCATCCACCGTGAATCTGCCTGTATAACCGTACCAAATGTCAGAAAAATCCGTTTGCATATGCAGAAGTTACAGGGGGGGGGGCGATACCCTGTGTCACCCGGTATTCCAGATATATTTTCTTAGAAATGACTGGAAAGGCTCATTGAGCGAGGTTATTTCAACGTTACACGAATTTTCAGATTGCCAAATTTTGGACCACCTGGTATGGTACATCAGAATTTTCCTCCGTCTGGGCCTGTATCTCAAACGAATATCCAAAATTCACCGCAGCCAGGGCCCCAGTTTGTGACCTCTAGTACCCACCTAACACACTAGATGCACTTCTGCGAAATTACTACCCAAAAATATGTGATGTATTCATAATATAGTCCTGTCTCTGAGTATGTATAAAAATTTCAATAATGCTATTATAAAAATATATGTTACTATGGATATTTTATGATTTTGTTCAAGGCGCACGCAGGTATTTTCCAAGATTTGATCAGTATTTTATACAACTATCAGAAGGAAATGAATTCATTCAATGTTTTATACCAGAAGAACATTTAATTCTCAATTAACATTTTGAGTTTTCCATCAATTTTGATCATTATTTCATACAGTTGAGAGCACTTTCGAAATGTTCTATTGATTTTGATTGATACACAGGGTACAACAAGCGGGAGTCATATTTTGCTATAATTATTTGTGTTCAAGTTTTGAACATGCTTTTAACTATTTGGTCGAAAGAGTTATTGAAAAAGTTGACCAAAAGAGTTGTAGGGTTTTATATACAGGGTCCGGTTTGTAATACAAAAAATTCAACAGTGCGTTGTACTCCTTGAAATAATGAAAAAAGTTTATGTAAACATATACTTTTAAA